ACGTGCTGCAAATGGATAAACATGTGCATCTCCAGTATTTCCAGTGGGATGGCCCTGTTAAATGTATCCCATTTGTGCATTTGTCACCCTCATTTTATAACGAATGGGTGCAAAATGAGAGAACAGAACCTTGTTGTCTTTTTGAGAACACAATTGTGAAACAATTGATGTGTGGCAGTAGACTTTCCGCCAACAAAAAACTGGCAAGTCAAACTCGTGGCAGTTTCAAGTGTAATTTGCCTATTTACAAATGTCCTGATTACTTTGAATGGAGGTGGCCAAAACCGCACCAATGCCATTTCCAGAAAACCCAGTTAGGACACCACTAAGTCACTGTTCCCAAGAACTCTTCTCTCTCACCCTTAGCCTCTGTCTTTCTCCTCTGAGCGTACTACCTGTTCCTCTCTCCTACCGGTGCCCTGTTCTTTCAACACTTAGCCCTACAGGCTGCATGGGGCTCACGTTCCATCTACTAAGTGTGGGCTAGTTTAGATGGGGGCCTACGCATTAACTTCCCCTTTCTGCAGTTTTTCTGCAACACAAGAACCTCCGGTAGGTTTGACTCTATCCAGTGTCCAATGGGGCTATTTAATTCTGATCCACAGAAAAAGAGAGCACTTAACCCACACAATCCCCTTAATGACTTTCCAGACATAGCTGTGATAGCCAGTTCCACAGGCAAGTCTCTCTATGTTCACCCCTTTCCATGGAGATTTTCCCACTGAACACTTATTTCCATATACCGTAACAAATATTTAATTAACACCTTTGCCATAAAAGTGTTATTCTCCAAAATACCATACTGGCTTTATCGTTCCATTCAATTCAAAGCCTATTGGAACTGGGAGCATGCTCAGATCTTGTGTCAATCAGCACCCGACACACTGTCCAGTTAAGTAGTGGTTAGTCCCAAAGAAGCCCCATCCAGGCCTCCTTGGAGTTTGTTTTACTGCAGCAGGAATTGATTTAAAAAGCAATTCTCCGGTAACCTTCACATGAGACATAAAATAAAGGGACAACAGGCTCAACAGGCCCCAAATGCTTGTAATGTCCCTTTAGCATTTGTTGATTCATCGTTTAGAGACTTGTGCGTAAGAGCCTGACAGGGATCCCACAGCCACTGTGCTGCCATTGTTTGCACCTGAACCCCGATCCAGTTAAGCAGAGTGCATGACTTTAATCGCTCTAATGCCATCACTGATTTCACTAACACATACTCTAAAAGGCTCTGCTGGATCCAGCCATAGAATGGTTGGAAAATCAGGGCCCTGGCCCGCTAGAAGGACACTGAATTCACAATGCTGCTATTTCACAGTTTATGATTTAATATCACAAAGTTTGTGATTTAATAGGACTTTGTTCCAATTATTCTCAGGCACAAGGGAAGAATGTGTTATGATTACATACTAACTAGCATTTCCTATTCAGTATCTATTTTGAAGGTTTCTGGATTGATGAATGGGAAAAATAGGATTTTTTCCCCCTTTTTGTTTATAAAATGGAATTTTATTAATTTAACCAAACCTGTTCAGGACACAATGGAATAAAAAACATTTGATCTGATAATTCAATTTGATGATTTAATTAGAACAGTACATAATGTAGCAAATGTCTGAAAGGAGGGAAAAAGTACATAACGATTGGACTGTTTATAAAGCTATCTGCATTTTCTAGAGAGCCAATTTTCCTTTCCATATTGTGTGTGTCTTGCATTTTAGGAAGGAGAAGATTCACAGATTCTGGATTTTTTTAAACCATATTTTAGGACGCTAAGGAGCCCCCATAGATTTTGCAAAGTGTAAAGCTGAAGGACAAATACAAATGCAGAGAGGAAAAAATGTTTGTATGTTGCTCTGGATTGAAACAGAATACATTGAAAAGAAACAAAAAATGTTCAGGCTAAATGAGCAAACAAGCCAGTGAACTGATGATTTCTTTAAAAAAGCCATTTGACATTGAAATCACAGATCTCAGCTGTTTTTAGAGAAAATATTACCATGCCTTTCCTTCAGATTCAGCCATTATTATTACTTATATTACCGTAGCCCGAGTCATGGACTGGGACCCCATGGTGCTAGGCACTGTACTGACACAGAAGAAAAGATGCGTCCCATCCCAGAGATCTTACAAGCTAAGTATAAGACAACAGACAGACAGACAGACAGACAGGGAAGGCAAAGTAACAATGAGATAATATTGGTCAGCATGATAGGCAGTGATAAAGAGAGTATTAGGTCTTGGAATTGTTACAACACAAAACCACCACAGCCAGTCCTCATTTCAGGACAAATGTCTCTTTGGCTCCCAGCACAGTAGTACCTGAGCTCCTCACAGTCTATAATGCAACACCCCCCACAATACCCCGTGAGGCAGGCAGTGTTATTATTCACAGTTTACAGACGGGGAACTGAGGCACAGGGAGGCTAAGTGATGTGCCCAAGGTCACACAGGTAGTCTGTGGTGAAGCCAGGAATCAAAGTCATGTCTTCCAAGTTCTCAGCTATTACCCTAACTGGACCATCTCTTCCTCTCTGGGCTGGTGCAACAAGAACAAACAGAAAAAGTGTCTGCCTTCCGTGTCCTCTGCAAAACGGCTGTAGGGGGAGGCTGAGAGGGGGTCGAGCTAAGGGAAGGAGCTCTGAGTGCACTTGGCTGCTCTGA